TTCTGCGGCAATAAGTCAATTGGAAATCATTGAACAACAATTTGACGTGCCATTTATAAAAGCATCAAAATCTGTTCAACCACTTTGCTTTTGGTTGGTTGGCCGGCGGCGAGGAGGAAAGCTGGGAAAAGTCGGAAAACTGGGAAAAGTCGGGGGAGTACGAGCTACGTAGTGTGCCAATTAATGTTGGCAATTAAATGGCATCCACAGCATTTGAACGGCACATTTGTCAAGGGGAAACAGCAGAGAGGCTCCTTGGTTTTCCCCAAAAATAAACCCCCTTTCCCCTCATCTCAAAAATACAATGCCCATCTGATTGCTTGGCCATTTCCAGCATTTTCCTCAAGCTGCTCGCATTTTCTGGCCTTTTTCTCCGGCTTTTCTCTCGTCTTGACTGCAATTCAATTTCGCTCCGATTCAATTCGATTCGATTGGGTTTTTTTTTTGCTAGCTGCATTGTCTGTTTTTTGTAGTTTTTTTTTGCAATGATATACATTTATTTTGAGCAACAATTGTTTTGGCATTAAAAACCGGCGGAATGTGCAATTGATGGCTCGTTCGTTTTGCTGTCGCCGGTGCCATCCATCACACTCAAAGCGAAATAAATTGAAACTAATGCCAAAATGGCAATCAATGAATGTTGCTGCTGCAACAGCAACACAAGCAACACGAGCAACATGAGCAACTTGCACTTGCAACAGCTGTTTTCGTTTACTTTCCCAGCCAGCAACTCGAAAATCCTGTTCGTGGAAAGCCAAGTTTTTCAGGTGAAAATGGTTAGTGGAGCATCGGTTGTGTTGTGTAGGCTCACTTTCTAGTAGAAATCAAGTTCAATTTGACAAACTGGCTCCCAATTGACAATCATGTCGAAAATCAATCATCTCCTACAAGATTACATCATGAATTTGTTTTAAGTTTGATCACTGATTAGGTATAAATGTAGACATTTATAGTTATTCATTAATTCAGATACTTAAGTTTTGAACTATATTGATGTTTGCATTGATTCATTTATTTAAGCAGCAAAGAAAAATCCTTTTTAAACCCCAGATAAATAATTAACTTAAACTACATATGGTCGTTATGGGCTTGGTATATCTGGAGTCTTGTGGGTCTTCAGTGGTCGTTGCCTTTCGCAAATCATAATTAACGCCACCTGCCAGTTGACCCATCCAGCGAAATCCTTTGACGAACGAAAACATAGCACCTAATAGTCAAAGTGACACGCTAAGCTGATTAACTCTAATCTAAAGTTGCAACCGGGGGAAAATAAAACACCAGCCGAACACAATCAAGGAGAAGCGAGTGTGAGTGTGAGTATGAGCCAAAGGGAAAACAGCAGGGAAAAGCACAACCCGCATGCCTGTGGAAAGTGCACTGGGCGAAAATAGTAAAGAAACCTTAAAATTTAAATAGTTCAGTTTTTAAATACATTTTCGATTTTTAAATTCTTTATATAATTAAGCAAAATATTATTTAAAAAAAAAAATTAATTAAAAGTTTCTAAAATTATTAATTTGAAGTTTCCTACGAAATATTGTTAATAGGTATTCTTTAAAAGGTCTTAAAGAAATATTTAAGTTAAGCTCCATTTCCTTTTAAGTTTAAAACTTAAATACCATTTTTCTCAGTGCATTGACTAAAGCAGCGGCTACACAACGACGACTGTTTACATTTGTCAAAGATTTGGGTGGGTGAAAAAAAAGAGGAAAAGGCAAAGGAAAAGAGGGTTTTCCGAGGTAGCTGGCTGCAATGAAGACGGGAGGACACGAGTGCACGAAATTGAGAGGGACAAGAAAGCTGAGGAAAATAAAGAGGATCCAGCGGCAGGATGGATAAAAGTGCACCTAACATGGGACCAAAGTGACCCACCAAATCCGGCAAACCGAATTCCGTCCGAGACTCTTATCTGTCCCCCGGATTTGTGACTCCTTTTTCACCCAGTCTCTAGATTCCAGATTCTCGACTTTCCCTGTGTGTTTAGAGAGTGTCTGGGGCTCATCTGGTTTGCCGGTTTGGCTGTTTGGCTTTTTGGCCGCGTGTCCTTGAATTGGCTTAGAGTTCTCGGGGGTGTCGGGATTTGCGGCGACTCGGGTCTCACTCGCAGTCCCCGTCTCAATCCAAAAGAACAGCAAAAAAAAAAAAAAAAACACCCATAGTTACCGAAAAAGGTGCGCGTCCTAAGCTGACCGTGAATGGATGAGGATCAAGTTGTCGAAATTGCCAGCGCAACCCTGCTTACCTCAATGATAATAACTTGGCTTGTTGGCCGGCTGTCAGCACTGTGCAGCCAAGAGCAGGTTGGCAGCCCTGTCAGCGACTTGGCCATCTATCAGACAGGTTGGCAGCTTTTCGGGCAAACTTAAAAAAAGCAACATGATTGCTTCCTTTTAAGCGACGCTTTTAAGTGTCGCCTTTTTAAAGGGCTGAGCTGATTTTGAGTTAATTTATGTTAGTTTTTGGCAAGGTTTTTAATTTTAGATCATAGGTTTTGAGAAATGTGCTTGGCTTTAAAGGGCAAAGACTTTTCATGAAATATTGCTTGTCTTGACCAATGCACACTGGGCCAGCCGATCAGATTTTTGGCCAAAAATACGTTTTTCTTTTTTAAGAAAATGACCAAATTGAGTTGGGGATCCTTTTTATAATACATTAAACTAATTTATGCCAAAGTTTCAAAGAATTCGGGCAAGTAGTTTTCTTTTACCATATTTTCAAAGTGAAAAATTCATAAAATATTGATGGAAATAAAAAAAAATTTAGAAGTCAAAGATGCTGATGTTGCTGTTCGACTTCTTTCCGAAACTTGCAGAAGGGATTATTTTCAACAAGTAAAAAATATAATATAGCTCGAATGTCTTACTTGTTTGCTAAAATAAATGTAATTGTTAATTTTTACGCTTTTTTTCAGCAAATGAGTACTTTGCTTTTCGAGTGCCTTCGAGTGCCATCCCCAAATTAGTTCATTCCTTCAAAAAAAAATTCGTTGATCAATTTACTAAAAGCGTAGCCCACCGACTCGATGCGGTTTTTCCTTAGTTTTCGGTAATTTAAGTTTTAATTGAAGGCTTAACTCGAAGTCGAGCTATTTTGAAGAGCTTAGCTAAGAGAGCCCAAGAGTATGCCATACTTTATTTCTTCAGGTTTTGGTGAACATTTTGCGCTCAATAATTTGATTTTAGTGTGACTAACATCTAAAATCTACTTTTTACGTACACTAATCGACTATGGTATTTTCCAAACCTATATGTATCTATTTAATCAGGACTATGCAAATTAAAATGTAGCATACTTTTGTGATGACTTCAGAATATGTCAAATTAACATTAAACAAATCAAAAAGCCATATTTTTAAACAATTTTTTTTACATAATTTGATTATATAAAACTTAAAAGGTAACAAGAACAAAAAAATAGAAATTTTTTTTTAAATCGATTGTTTGATAAACGTTGATGTGGGAGCCTCCGAAAGTTGCACTTTTTAACGGTTCATAAATCTTAAATGACATAATATTTTTTAGTGATGTTAATCATTTTTAGTTTGCTTTATCTCATACTTTATTGTTTTCGAAAATGGAAGAAGTGCGTATTCTAGTTATTTTTTTAAAAATAAAAAACCGAAAAGTACGTAAAATTTTCCGACTTTGGTCTGGATTATCTATATCATATAAAATTCCAAGAAATTACTTTTAGTTCGTTGGAAAGTTCAATCTTTTAAGAAAAAAACGCAAAAAACTGCATCCTTCTAACTGTCCTAGGAAAGAAATTACAGATTTTTGGCCAAAAAATTAACTTTCTGGCCCAGTGTGCAATGGTTCGATTTTTTAATATTTTGTAACCAAACTAATTTTATTAAAAAAAATGGAACATTTTAAATTTCGAATACGAATTTTCTATATTCATTGGCAGGTAAAGCTGAATTTATATATTTTATTTTATATTAATTTAATGTTTTATTTTTTATTTTAATTTTTTTATGAAGAAACTTTACCTTTTCGTTTATTATTTTTATTTTAAGAAAATGGTTTTTTGAAATCGACTTGTGACTTCTTTACAAATACAATATACAGGCGATATTCCTAAGACAGATTAGGATTTTCGTAATATTTACCATTTCACAAGGTCATTTGTAAGTGCCCACCCAACTTTTTGGCCAAGAAGATGCGGAACAGAGTGAAATGGAGCTGGTCGATGGCGGCAATCATTCGAGCCGCTTTGAAAGCATCAGTTAACTTCCAGGCTGCTTTAGGGGGAGGGGCAGAGGAAGGCGGTACCGGCTTGGTCATATTTTGGCGTAAGTTTTCACCACACGCCCAAAAGTGGAAAATGCAGACGCTGCACTCGCCAGCCGACGAAGACGACAGCGAAAGACGAAAAGTGGGGAAAAGTGGTAAGACGAGTGGTCCACGAGCTGGCCCACCGATTCGGGCCAAGAGTTCGGCTTTGGCTTCGGCTTCGGAAAATGCGGCTCGGAAAAGCGGCAGCCAACCAGTCGGGAAATTTGGAAAACACAGGCGGCATTATCAGACGGCAACTTCAGTTGCAAGCGAGCGCTCAGCGTGTGTGTCTCGTGTCTCTCGTGGCGGCAACAGCAACCTGCAACTTGCAACACACTGGTAGCAACGTGCAACACCAAGCAGCAACAGCAGCAGTGGCAGTGGCAGTAGCAACTAGCAACATAAATTGCGTCTTTTTTGCGACTTTGACTTTGGCCACCAACGATTTTGAATTTTGAATTTCAAGTTTCCCGCGCGAGTGTTTTTTATTCAAATCCATTCAAATTCCGTTGACTGCGGTGTTTTGTTTTGGTCTTTGGTTGTTGGTCGTGTGTTGTGTTTGCACGTGCTCATTTGTTTATTTGTTTTTTGTTGCTGTGCAGTGTGGTGCCAAATGAATAGAAACCAAACTCGTAGGAACAACCAAAGCAACGTGCAACATTTGCTGGACTTGTTTTGAAAGTAAAAAGTGCATCATAATAATAATATAAATAATAGATGGACTTTCGAATCATCTGCAATATTTTGGAGCATTCAAATTGCAACTGCAATTTTATGGATTTCGTTTAAGAACTGAATTTGGTAAATTATAACAAATTTAACTTGCTTAGTTTTAAAAAAGCATATACTGAAACATCCAATTGCCACTAATATTTTTCTTTACCAGCTATATCTTATAATCAAACCAATAGAAACCTACAAAAACTATAAAACCTGCAATATTTCATTAATATAAATTCTTGGAAAAATCTAAAGCAACCAGAAATTTGATTCTTTGCTTGCATTATATTTCAGTCGTCTAATCAAACAACCTGCGATATTTATTGCAACCAATATAAATCTGCAATACTTCAATATTAATTCCTTGAAAAATAAATATATTAGTTGATAATTATTATTAATATATCCATTCGTTTCAATTCAATTTTGGTGTCTTAACTTAATAACTAGCATAATTTTCAAAATAGTCTAAAACCTTCAATATTAATTCTTATAAAAATCGTAATGAACCTAAAATTTTATTTCTGTGCCTGCAATATTTGTTTTTCTTCTAAAAACTACCTGCAAATATTTTGCAAACATTTTAGAACCTGCACTATATTGCAAAAATTATAAAACTTGCAATATTTCTTCAATATTAATTCTTGGAAAAATCGAAAGCAACCTGAAATTTGTTTCTTTGCCTGCAATATTTGTTGGTCTTCTAATAACAAGCTGCGATATTTATTGCAACCGATGGAAACCTGCAACATTTGCCGGACTGCTGGACGGTGTGTGACTGGTTCGTGTTGCTTTACTTTTTTCGTTGCTTTTTTTTTTGTATTTATTTTTTAGCGAAAGTTTCTGGTGTTTTTTTTTTTTTTTTTTTTCTTTGGCCGGCGTGATGAGTCTGCCAGTTTTGCTGTTTGGTGTTGCTTTTGCTGCGGGGGAAAATGAAAACAATTTGCAGTTGATGCTTGGCCTCCTCCTCTCAGCCTCTTTTCTTCATCTCCAGTTTGGGGCGCCCCTAATTAAACCGGTTAAGCGTTTCGTTTGTATTTTTTTTTTGTTTTTGGTATTCGGTTTTCTGCTAATTGCCAGTGAAATTTGTGACAGCAGCAACACGACAACGACGACAACGACAACAATCAGCTGCCATTGTGTGTCCTTGTTAATGAAATCGTTAAGCTTTTCGAAGGACCCGTAGCCATGGCACACAGGACGATTACGTTGACGAAAAAAGGATGAGAGGTTGCTGATGAGGCTGCGATGCGATGACGATGACGATGTGATGCCGATGCCGATGCCAATGCGATGGTCTGATGCTATGATGCTGGCGGGGCCAATATCAAAAGGATTTCGTTTGAATGCGAAAATATGGGGGAAATATGCGAAAAATGTTTGCGTGAGGAATCTGGCAAACGGAGCGATATGCTGATGGCAAACAGCTGCCTTTGGGGGGATCTCTTGGTGCAAAAAAAAATAGAGAAGCTGTTGAAATGGCAAAACGGTAAATCTGTGAAAAACCCCCTTTGGAATAATAGCCTAAAGGGTGTTTACATTACTGGCATTGCCCAAGAAAAATTGATCACATTTTCAGGTATTATAATGTAAAAATGAAATTAGAGTTGAGTATGTATTTCAAGAAATTTTAGCAGTGATTAATAATGAAATTATGAAATATAAATAAAAAAGAAAAAAAATATAAGCAAACAATGCGTATTCCGCAAGATGGCGGAATATATGCAATATGCTGCTTGCATATTTATATATAGTAGTTTTTAAAAAAAATTATTTTCTATTAAAGAAAGGTTTAAAAATGTATTCAAAAACTATTTTAGCCAAGGTTTTGGGCTAATCATCGATTAGATTTGAAAGCCAGGCCGCAAGCTTCTGACACATATCAAATGAAAATTAAAAATTCCATCTAAATGTAAATAAAATACAAGAAAAAAGCCTCTGAACAAAAACTGCGACAGACGGCAAAGATAAACAAAAGGAATTGGGCAACCAAATGAATATGAAGCCATCAGCAGAGCGCCATGTGCAGCAGCAGCAGCAACAACAACAACAAAGTGCAGGGTGGTGGGTGGAAAAGCGGCGGAAAATGGAAAATGGAGGGCGGGGAAAATGTGAAAACGCGCCAAAGAGACGGAAAAATGCCGCCAAACGCAAATACTGCGGCACAATTTCAGTTTTTTTTTGTTATCTCACGTTTTTTCGGTTTATTTCTTATTAATTTTTTTCGGTTTATTTCTTCTTTTTTTGCCCGCTTTTCAAGGGGACACACACACATTCAAAGCTTCGTCGCCTGCGGCCGGAAAATTTTAGATTTTCACTTTTTTTCCCGACGCGTCTGCTGTTTATTTTTTCTCTCTCTCATTCTGTTGACAAAATATCCCATAGCCAAAGGCAGGAAAATAAAAAAAAGACAGGCCCACATTATGAAATTTTTAATCAAATGAAATGACAATAAAATTTTGCTGTCGCCAAATTAAATGAAATGTCAATTTCGAGTGGCCCAAAAAAAAATACATAAGAGACAACATTTAAAAATCACTTAAAAGTCCCAAAAGAAGCAAAAACTTGATGTTGATTCAATAAAACATTTCATTAAAATGTTCTTTATTTGATTTAAAATCAAATTAAAATCTTAATAACTCACAGGAATAATTTCATTTTATTATTAAATAATATTTGTGGTCTACTTTAAATTGTATTTGAAATTAATATTTATTTTATGAATTTAATGCTTTGCTTCGGATCATCTTGTGCATGGGAATTAAAAGTCACAACTCAAGGAAACTATATCGTATTAATTGCATTCGGTTTATCCAATTAATTACTTAATTCGAAGGCAAATATTAAACAATTCCTGAACCGAGAAATTGCATGTATTGCTGATTGAATGAATAGCAGGAAATTCGAGAGACTGAAGCTCCGTTTTAATAGGAATTGGTCTCATCTCATTTATGCAAAGTAGATTTACAGATTTCCAGGTGGCATAATTGATATTAATTTTGTAATTAAAACATAAACTGATTGCAGGCAGGGGGCAAAAGGCAAAGGGGAAAAGGGCAAGAGATTATGCAATATTTCGTTGTTAAAACATTTCAATTGAACAATAACCAATGACCAAATATCAAATCGCAGAGAGAACAAGCTAAATTGTCAAACATTTCGACATTTCTGACACTTGACATCAACTGGCAGCCTGCATTTGCATTTGCATATTTTGGAATGGCCTAATTTATGCATTTTTGATGGATACGATTTTGTAATGAATATCCCAATAATCGATGGCCAATATTAGGTTCTGTTTAATTGAATTACCTATTGTTTTGTTGCCCGAGTCGGAGGGCAAATTGTTTCGAAAATTGCAATTCGAAAAACGAAAGTCTCACTCGAATGCAGCGGAGCATTAAAATTACCTTTTAATTATCACGAACGAGAAAAGTACACATGCAGAAAATACAAAAAAAACTCTGCATAAATCCATAAATTGCCTAAGCATGAACATAACTTTAAAAATTTGTTTGGTGAGGGGATAAAACCTCACATTCACGCATGCGATTTTAATATTACCTGAACAGGTGGATTAAAATTTCGCTGGCCATTAAAGATTATTTCATCAGTTGGCAGAGGAAAATTTGAATGCCTGAGAAAGGGGAAAACAAATGGGCATTAAGGGATTATTTTTCCATGAAAGTCTCCTAAAAACTAAATAAATTTTCTAATGTTAATTAAAAATCTAAAATTCCTACCACAATTAGAGTATTTTCTGAATTTTCCTAAATATTTATTCGGATTATTTTGATCGGGCTCAGCTCTTTAAGGCCCCCAAATATGTTTTTGTTAGCTCACCTGACAGCTGTCAGCTTCAACTTTCGCCCCCCACTTCCCCTCTGTTTCACCTTTCCCACCTGCGATTTTTCCTTAGTTTTTATTTTTTTTATTTTTTGCACTTCATCAAGTTGCGTTGAGCCAGCGTAGAAGGAAACTAAATGCGCAAACACATGTTCCCCATTCACTTGCGACACGGCAATTCCTTGTGTTAGTTTGTGTGTGCACAGGAAAAAATATGGTATATAGGTATATGAATATTAAAATCAAAAACTTAATTGATTACAAATAAAATTTTATTATTAATATATTAGTAAACAAATAAAGGGTAAATAGGTATTTTATAAAAATAAACTAGGGAATTTTAAGTATTAAACAAACAAATCTGTTTTAAGAACTAAATAAAATTAATAAAGACTTTACCGAATTAACTAAGAACATTTGAATAAATAATATTTTAGGAAAAGTATAATTCTTCCTGTCAAAATTTACATTTTAATTTTTCCCAGTGCATTTGTGTGTTTGTCGATGTGCTAATGTATGTATTTGCATCTATTAGTGTGCGTGCCAGGATGGCCAGGCGAATGTACAACAGCAACAAATAGCTAAACAAAAAGTTTTGGCTTTAGTTTTTGCATTTGGCTTCGGATTTGGCCTATGGCCATAACGAGATGGCCGATCCAGGGTGTTCCGTTCCAAACGGGTGATATGGGGGTGTCGAGAGATAAAAGTTAAGACCGGCACACACAAGTGTGAAGTAGAACTTGGGGCCAAAAGAGGAAGCATACGGATAATTGCTCGGCAACCAAGTCAAATTGCACTTGAAAATACCGCTTTTTTCATGAGCGATTTATTTTATTTATTAATAATAAATTCAGTTTTATTTTTTGTATGAATAAAACATTTTTAGAAGTCTGGGAATTATATTAATATAATTTTGTTTCCCACACTTCTGACAGAGATTCCTCATAATTCTTTTCTGCCTCCCAGGAGGTTAAGTTTATATGTAGCCACCACTCCATCAGGAACTTTCCTTCGCTTGACAAACGTACAGACAAAATGGCTTAGTGTAACACTTCCGTTTCCTGCCTCACAGACACACTCACACACACTCACACTTACACAAAGGGTCTCATTTGATTAATGGTTTTTTGTGCACTTCCCCTGTTTATGGGACAAGTTTACAACACCAAGGATCCATTGAAAATGCGTGTTATTATTTGATGCTCCACAGCAGACGAGCCGAGCCCAAGTGGGCCATAGTCCTCTAACTATCCATGATTCTTGTTTGAGACACACACGTGGTGAAACAAAAGAAAAATGTGTAACCCAACCCGAGGCTCCCTTTTTTTCCACATTTTTTTGTGCTGATTAGTTTTGGGAATTTCCATCGCCTTGGCTGTCAAACATTTTGAATGCTTCTATTCTGGGCCTGCTTTTGCTTTTTGCCCCATTTTTGGCCTCATAACTCACACATTTCCCCAACCGAACCTAACTGAAACGAACTGAACTGAACTGCAGTCACATTCATGCATAAATTATGCCCACGTTGCGTATACGCAATGTCTGACACCATAAAAATAGTCCACAGACAAAAGCGAAGATGACACAATTCGGGCACTTGGCCAAAAGGTTAAATGCACGCTGATTGGGGTGAACTCAGCTCAGCTCAGCTCGGTGGCTCATCCGTATCCGAATTCTGAATCTACACTGAGAGCAAAGGCTTAGTAGTAGATATAAAAGTATATTTTCAGGAAAAACAATGTTTTTTATATTTGTATATTTTTATTTTTAAGAAAAAGGGTTTAGGTGCGTTATTTAATTTTTTTTGCAATTAAAAAATTGGGTTTCAAATAATATTTATAGAAAAAAAAGTACAAAAAAAATCCAATGAAATTCTTGGACAATCTGAAAAGGAAAAATCAATATTAGTTTAGCAAATTACCTACAGGAATGGTTATAAAGTCTTTTTTTTATGAAAAATCTAACCTTATTTTCTCTTGAATTTTAGAAAACGGGTTTTCCAACTTTAGCTATAATAAAATGGCTTTAATCTTCAATCGATGAAAAATAATGGAAAAAAGTACCTTAATTTTTGCCAGTGCAGCCACGTGCTCTGCAGGACATCATTTGAGCGCTGGCCAAGTTGCCGAATTGAGCTCGGTGCACTTTGTGCCAAATAGCCAATGGCCAGAAACGGTGTGAGATCGAAATTTGTTGGAATGCAAATCAAATTAGACACACACACACATAAACGTACGTACTGGGGAGTCCTTCGACTCCTTCGTTTGGCGGCGGAGCTCAAAGGCCGGATGCTTTTAATCAAAACAGCAATGCAGCTGGGAAAGGCCCCCGGCCATCGGCTTTTTGCCCTCTGTGCAGTTTGCAGTCTGCAGTTCACCTCGACCACCTCGAATCGGGAGCGGAAAATATGCTACAACTGTAGCCTAAGGCACATGAAAATCGACACACGGTTGCAGCAGCGGCATTTTCCGCAATCCACCCACTTTTCATCCGCTTTTCCCTTCTCATCGCTTTCCCTTTCCCCCAGCCTTTCTGCGGCATTCTGTTTTCCGCACTCATCGAGAGCCCGATTCTGATTGCATTGACCGTAGGATAAGACCAATTGGCGCCACCTGGCGCTCACAAGTCGCGATTCGCTTGTCTTGCCTTTATCCTTTCGTCCTTGGTCCTTCATCTGGTTTTCGGTCCTTTGGAAGAGACTAATTGACCGGAACAACCGGAAGCATTGGCGATACTACAAAGAAAAATGATAGCCTAAGGTTTTATAAAAAATAAATAATTTACATATTAATTCCACACAAAACATAGTAAATCGAAATATTTTATATTAAATTTAAACATTTTATTTCTTAAATAAGGGTACATTTTTTTAAAAAATTAAAAACAAAAATAAAAAATAAACAAGACTCTTGAATAAAATATTTCATATTATTTCGTGCAATCTAAATCTTTTGAATTTAATTTAAATATTAAGACCAATAATATTTTGAATTCGATATACAGATATTTATTTTTACCGGAGTTATCTTAAATTCTAAATATTCAACTCGTTCTTGTTGCACTTTTCCCCGGTATCATAGGCGTAAATCTAGCTGGGGGAAAAGCCGGGAAAACACGGTGGCAAACGGAAAAGCTGGAGAGGAATTTGCAACTATTACACTAACGAGCAACAAGGTGCCACGCCCCCCGTTTGTCTGGCTTTGAGTTCCGTTCATTTGCCTAGTAAACTACCCCTACCCCCTGCCCCACCACACAACACTTCCGGTCCGCTCCTGCAGCAACTTCCGCTTGTCCTGGACATTCTTATCAGCGTCGCACGTTTTTATCATAAATTTTACACTTGGCTTGCAATTTTTCGCTCGATTTTTGTGGCAAAATCTCTCCCTTTCTTATTTTTTTTGTTAGGGGCATAAAACGCCCGACGACCCCGTAGGATTTTGACTTCTGGAGCGGCTCTTGTTGAGTTTTGTGTCCCATTAAAATACTTTATGAGGCGAAGGTTATGGGGACATTACGTAATTCCTGGCGAGCAAGTGTTGGTCCACCCCATTTATTGTTTATCAATTTTACGAGGGGGGGAGGCAATAAACGAATAACAGAGGGTGTACAGATTTCGGAGTATGGATTAAAGTGGGATTTAAGAAAAAAAACCAAACCACTTGCTTGTTTCCCCATAATTTTTCTCTTTTTATTCGATTTTTTTAAGAAAAATGTTTTCCCCGCAACATTTTATTTTTATTACTACAATTTTTACCCTTTTTATATAAATTTGTTCTGTAAAATATTTTTAATCTTTATCCATTTATAATATGCCATCTGCTTCACACTTTTTTTTTGCTCAGGCTGCAAGTAACTTTTTCATTTTAAAACTTTGTGACGTCCAGTGATTTGTAGATTCGTAGAGCGTTTATTAAAACACTCAATGTCGAAATAAATGTTGGTTGGCTATCTTTAGCCACATCAGGCATAAGAAATCTTTTTGCTTTTAGCCATTTAAGGATTTTACTTTGAATCTCTGGCATAAGGCTTCCAATAAGCCCTTTTGCATTGGCAATATATTATTTTTTTTACGAGAACGCTCAGCCACCTCAACTTAACTCAGTTGATGATTGGCATAATGAGGACAACGATGATTATTGGCCCACTTTGCAGTTATATTGGTCAGCAGACGGCAGGCAAAAGGACGCACGTTGCGTATACGCCCCATCTGCCATCTCGCATCTCGCATTCAACTCGAATGATCATTGCTCTGCTGCGGCCAATGGATACTTGTGCAAATGAAGTGTGTACACAAAGTATCATTCACGCTATCATTGACACCAAACAAGAGGGGGAAATCCCATTGCCGGGGAGCTTCACTGTAGCATTCAGAAGCGGCAGTAAAAACAAGTTTGTTAACGCAGTCAAAAGTTGTTGGCGTTGGCGCAATCGAAAACGTTGAGATTCATTTTTTTCCACCACGTTCAGAAAAAAATACAATTTATTTTTTATTTTCCAACCAGTGTGTGTGTGTGTGTGTGTGTGTGTGAGTGGTAAAACATGTAGTTTGCATTCATTCATATCCCAGCATTAAAATGTTCTTATTTTTTCAGCAGAGTGAAACTCTGTCTGTCTGCCTTCTGCGGATGTACAAATATCGAGGGGAAAAAGTCAATATAATAAAGACCGAAATATTGCATTCGATCGAAAAATAAAATAAAGTAACTAAAATAAATAGGGGGCCATACGGTTTATTTTCAACGATGTTTTGGCAATTAACTGCTTTTAAAAAGAAAAAATAATAATATTAAATCTTTTTTCATTTTAATTTACAGAATACGGAAAGAATATAAGTAACTATTTTAATAGCACAAAAATATTATATTGTTTTAAGACTTATCACGATTTTTATTTATTATCCCTAAAAATATAGTATCAATCATGGTTATAATTTATGAATCTATCTATTGGAATCGACCTTTTGCCATCCCTATTTTTGCATTTATTCGTATCCAGCAAATGAAATCTTTTTATTTTTCAGCAGAACTCTGCACATTTGCTTCTTTTTCTGTCTGCCGGTTGAAATTATCGCAAGTAAAATTTATGATTATGCAGCTGAAGAGGCGCCAGAGCGAGAAGGGCCGATAAGGAGCGAGGGAGAGGGGAGATGGGATGTAATTGCTGGCGGCTCTTTTACAGCCATTATTGCCACGCCCCCCCAATCCGCACCGCCCCCCTTTTGCGGCAGCCACATCAAAGTGCAATTTTCGCAGCAACTTTTATTGCATAGATATTAAAAAATTCACCCATCCCATTTTCATTTTCATTTTCAGCAATGAAAAACGGCTCATCCCCATCATTAACATCATCATCCGCTTTTCCTCGGCATTTAATTGAAAAGTGAAATTGATTTCATCTCTTCTTCTTCTCCGTCTTCTTCTTCAATGTCTTCCTCTTCTTCTGCTCAAAAGAAAATTGTTTTGTTTTTCTTTTGGCTTGTGTGTGTGTGTTGCATTGATTATGGAAAATCATATTTTTGATTTTTGCACGCAGACATTTCTTCCAATTGCACACACTCATTATTTGCCATTTTCTTTTCTTTTAATTGCTGCGAATGCGATTTTCTTATTATTTTCGTTGTTGTGCGTTTGCAGCGGCCATTTCCATTGCCATTTCCATTTTTGTGGCCACAATTATTTCCATGGAATATTAAAATGATATATACAACTACTCCTCGACATGCTCCCCTTTTCTTTTATTAATCTCTTGTTTTTCCGTTTTTTCGTTTTCCTGCCCAATGCGGTGCTTAAAAATTCCATTAACTTGCACAAGCAAAAATTTTCTTTATTAAATTGGAGAATAAACTTGAAATTTTGTTTGCCAAAAAAGCAGTTTTACATTTTTAGCTGTGATTCCTGGGGGTTTTCGATTTTTATGGGATTTAGGAGCTATAAAAATATAAGATGTAATGCCAATTTAATTATAATTTGTTTAAAATATTTATACATTTATCAGTAGCAATTAAATGCTTTATTTTAAAATACAATAGATAATACCCTTTGTACATCCTTGCTTTAAGTACTTCCCTACTCGAAATGACTCGTAATAAGTTTGGCGGAATAGAAGAAACAAACTATTTGCCAAACATCTCTATATTCCACATACGTACATGTGTAATCTATATGTGTGAACACTTGAGAAACAAGTTGAATTTATTTGCGCTCCACTCACTTGTTCAAAAATGTTTTTCTTCCAGTGGGGCAGGACGGAAAAAAAAGAAAGAACTTGCAACTGGTTGGAGGAGAAGGAGAACCCAAAACCAGAAACCAGAGACAGGAAAACATAGCGGCAAGCAAAGTGTTGCATACTTGGCACAAATAGCAAAGTGTGAGGAAGAAAGGATACGGATACGGAAGCGGATATACATATATATATATATAGGGAGATATAGATATATATAGACGGGCAACATGCCGTCGTCAGCAATAAATAAAACAGCACGCAGTGTTGCCAATGCGATCCAATTGCTGGCAATCGTTCTCTATTGCTGCTGTCTGGTGCATGGACAACAGCAGCAGCAGCAGCAGCAACAACCCCAGCAACACTTGAAGTACCAGCAATTGCAATATCAAATGCAGCAGCAATATGAATACCAGCAGCAGCAGCACTACCAGCAGCAGTTCCAGCAGCAACAGCAACAACAGCAGCAGCAGCAACATTTGACACCCACAGCAACACTGGCTCATCATCAGCAGCAGCAGCAACACGAGGAGCAAATCGACTTGCTGTCCACTCAGCCAACTCAGGTGAGTGATAATCACACACATAAACACATCAATTTATAACAATTATTATAAGGTTCCCCCCACCGGGAAGTCCCGGAAAAATAAAGCTCATTGTGTAATTAATTGAGCTCTGGGAGCCAGCCAGAGTTGCCACAGCTGCCACAGTTGCTGCCGCAGCAGCAGCAGTTTCTGCCAACAAATTGAATTTGATTTCAGTAGCAGCGGCAGCAGCTGCAACTGCTTAAAAACCAAATCCCCAATTGCCAACTTTTCGTTTTGCCAGCCAGGGCTTTTCCAGGAGATTGGCCCACAGCCAGGCAGTGAACCTCAAGTTCAATAAGCTGATTAACTGAATGAAATCAGCAATGAAAATGAAATAGAAAGTGCCTTCCAGCTTTTTGGCTTCTCTTCTTCTTCTATTCTGTTCTGTTCTTTGCCTTAAGTTGAGCCACCCTAAAACCACCCGAAAGTTGCCACCACCCCAAGTAAACCAACCACTTCTGGCAGCCGCACTTCTGGCAATTTGCGGCTGTTAAATGATTAATTTGTTTTTGATAGACTTTAAGTTATATTTAATTAGCAGAGCTAAGGCAGAGCAAAAGAAAAGGAAAACGGAAACGGAAACGAACAGTAACTTTTCTTCAAAAGGAGGCTTGAATTAAAAATGAGTTGGCAGCCCCGATAGGAAAGTCTGGGAAGATTTAGTTTTCCCAATGGATAAACGATAATTGACAAGCACACAATGCTAAGAGATAATAGGAAGGGACAGTTGCTTGTCTTAAGCTTAAGTCTAAAAGTTAAAACAACTTTTTTAGGCAAAAGGAAAAAAAATTAACCAGTCTGGCAACCCTATAAGTGCAGTTTTAAGCTTCAAAAGTCTCACATAATATTTTGACACTATCGCACACATTTGGTTTGGAATTTCATTTCAATTGGTGTGCTTGGTAGTTTTTTTTTTTGAAAAGACCACTGCCCGCGGGGTGACAACCCTGGCTGCGGCAAGCCTGTTAATTTCACACACGATTTGCTGCTTAGTTTTTGCACTTTCCGCACTCCTGTCAACTGACTTCTCACAGCCTTGACTGCTGTTTCTCGCCCTCCCCACCCGTTTTTCTCGTTTCGGACAAAAGGCGTGCCAAGCTTTTGTCAGAGGCAAGAGACCACCGAGCACCGCAACCCTGAAACCTACCCCCCCGCCTCCTTTTTGCATCATCCCGCTGAAACTGAAACCCAGAGCTCTAAACCAACTTTGCAGGACAAAACGTGGCAGCGTTTTGTAGATTTTTAAGTCCCATAAATTTTAAGTGTCAATATATAAAACCGCATATGTGCGGGGCCAACAATGGATGCCGAAAAGAGGGGGCGGAGGGCGTGGCATGGCGGGGCCAGCGAGTCGAAATTCATAAATTCAAGCGTGGACGAAACGAAATGGTAAAATAAAATGCAACCAGCAGAAGTAAAGCAGGAGCCGTTTTGGCTCGGACTGCGAATGTTCTAGGGGTGGACCTTTCCTGGGGGATTATCGAAAATAAATATCGAATTAATCGCTGCAGTTATCTAAACAAATTCTGATAGAATAATCAATGAATATGATTTTAGATATATCGACTAATTTTTTAGGAAAAGAAATTACAAATTATTGAAAATTTAAATTACAAATATTATAAAATTTAGATTTTTATCGAGTGATCTATTGATTTATCGAGAAAGTTATCGTTTATAGTTTTAAAAAAATGAATTAACGTTTAAATAACTTATTTTTGGACATGTAATTATTAATTGCTAATTTTATTTCTCAAAAAATCAGATAGATAAAAAAAAATATTGAAACATGTTTGGAAGTTTTATCGGTTTTATGATTTTTTTTTGATGCCCAAACCACAATCTATCGCAAAGCCAGAGGACATCGCCACACGTGTCACGTTTCCATCCCCGGGGAGCCACACATAAATTATATGAATGAGGTTTTTTGCTTTATAGTTGCGCGTTCCATGTCCGTGTCTGTGGCCGAGGGCCGTGGCCATTCGGGCCAAGCTCTCTGCTCCTGGCTGCCGACCATGCCGACCATGCCCCGCTTTACGCCCCACTAATCCCCCAGCTCCATGTGGCTTTTATTTTATTGCAAACTTCAAATAAAAACAGCAGCAAAAAGTTGTTAAAAGAAAACGGGCGAGCCAAAAAAGAGCAGACGGGTAGCCAAGCAGCCGAGCAGCACGAGAGCGAAGTGGAAATATTGTATGAAATAAAAATAGAAAACTATAAAAGTAGAAAAAAATAGCATAAACAATGCGAGTTCTGAGGATCACGGAGGGGGTTTCGTATCCCCGAAACCAAATAGTAAACCAAGACGGGGGGCAATCAAATCAATTTCGAACGGCAACACTCCAGTCCATCGAGCCATGACCACAGCATCAAAATCGCCCAGCGAGCAGAGGAGTTCAAAGTGTGGCATTTAATAATCGATGGGTTCATCAATCAAGGTCCACTGCCATAGGCTCCATTTTTCACCCGGTTCTAATGAGTTGACACAAATTCGAAAAACAGCTTAAAATTCAATAGAATTGCCACATTCCTAAGCGATTGATTTATCGAAAGTGGCAGACGGAAGTGGTTTGGTAATTTCTTAAAATTCAATACAGTTTCTGCACGTTGTAAGAAGTGATTTATGGGACGGTATGTACAAAAAATGCATTAAAATTTAAACGGTGAAATATTTCCATCGTAATTGAAATATTGTTATTATTTTCAAACAAATAAACTGCATTTTCATCTCTCACTAAAATAATAAAGATTTTAAAAAGGTTAGCATTTGGTTATATTTTCTCAAGCGGTTAATAAAACATTCAAGCCATCCTATCCAGAAAAAAACCTCTGATGGCAGAGTTATGAAGATTTTCGCAGCACTCACAGCAAATTATCTTGAAATTGTAATTACAAATTTTGTAGCATACTTATTAGGGCCAACAGCTGAGGCATCCCGCAGAACGGAAAGGGAAGGACCTGGTGCTTCGTGGGGCAAATAGGTGGAAAATGGGGGCGTGAAAAATGGGCAGGGAAGTGCAGGGAAAACCCCGTTGAGACGCCGCGTCAGTCAGCGGCAAAGCTGAAAATCGCTAAAGATTAATGATGCAAAAAATTGAGCATCATTAAAGAAAGTGAAAATGGAATTAAGTGCAGCGGAGAAAGAGAAAAGGGGAAGGAAGTGGGTGGTGGGTGTTGGTAAAGGGGAAGTACGAGTGGAAAAAACGCCAAAAAAACACAGATCTGAAGGGGCAAAGTACGTGCAACACGCAAAGCGGAAGAAAATGGCGGCATAAAACTTAACTACAATAAGCGGCCAGGCCAAAAACGAGCTGACAACAACAACAACAAACAGCGAAAACTAAACCATCTACAAGAACAACAAACATGGTTGCACACACACATTTAGGCGGTTTTTCCTATGCACAGAAAAAAAATGCATAAAAAATATGAAAAACAACAATTTTTTTCCAAAATTCGGAATTTTTAAAAGTATTTAGTTTTGTTAAATTTTTTTGTCTTCAAATTACAATTTTTATATTTTCTTAAATCGAATCGAGTTTTCTCCCAGTGTGCGTGGGCGTGACCTCGAAGGTCTCTCTGTGTGGCAAGTAGTTAGGCCAAGTGCCACACGTACGTGCAGCGGAAGCGGAAATGGCGAATGCCGTCACAGAAACGCCCCCTGTTGGCGGGAAAAAGCATTAGGGGGCGGTGTGGCACCGCCAGGGGAATCCCCGCTAATGTCTTGAGCACGTTGTCTCTCCCCCAAAACCTCTAAAAACCTCCCACTCCCTCCCTTCGATGAGCCCGCAAAACGATGACAACAAGTTGGCCAGTTATGGTTCATGGCCCGAATAAAACACTTCATAAACTATGGACAAGTTGTGAATTTTCGCACATCTTAGAGGGAATCTGACAAGGCGAAACTATATCGATTTGGCTTTAAAATATTCCAGCAAGTTTGTTTAAGGATTATTTAACTATGTAAATAAAGAAGGAAAATATTAAAAAACGGAAAGAAAATAAGAAAGTTTTACAATTTTGTTTGGTAAAAAAATATTTTATAAGAATTACGATTTTAATCTGATTTTTCATTTTAAATATATAAAGAAAATTTCAAAATTGTAAATGCATTAAAAAAATTCTGGACAATTTAAAACTATTTATAATACTATTTATTTATACTACATAAATATTTATTTTCATCACAGACTTTAGATAATTCTAATTACAACTTAGTTGCAGCTGATTTATTTCCATTCTAATCAGACTTTCCTATTCCATTTCCCATACCCATTTCCATTATAATTAAAGCCCCCTTAAATGGTAAGTTATCTGCCATTTTACCTGTCGAACTTACAGACCCTGAATGTGATATTTTCCCCCATCGCCTAGGAAATTCGGAAATTTGCGAATTCTCAGGCCAAAATGAAAATGTCTGTCTGCAGGCATTAGACAACAACTTAGTGGGTTGCGGTGGGTGGATAAGTTTTTTCTCCACACAACCGCAGCGCGAATATTTTGTTACGCAACCCAAACGAAAGAGATGGCAAGAAGCCGCAGAAAGAGAGAGGGATAGAAAACAGGCATGCCGAAAAATAATTAGCGCGTTGTGTTTATAAGTTTCCGTTTAAAAGCGTTTTACGTGCTAACCGGGGGGAAAAGCGATGGAAAAGCAATGAAAATGGGTGTGGGAAAGTGTGTGGGAAATGGGGTTCGCTGAGATTACAGCTTTGATATATTAATGAACTGCCGAAAGGGATCGGGATGAGGCAAAACACGAGGCCCACTTCCATTGATGTTTCTCGCTTTCCCTCGTTTGAAGAAGGTTAATCTATTTACAGAAACGCAGCAAACTAAGCAATTCAATTATTAATGGAGCTTCGACGAAATCCGATTTTGGGGGAACATTTTAAGGACATTTCGGGTCTAAAATTGTGGTTGTCTTGGGTTAAAATCCCCTAACCACGCAAATGCAATCCTATAAAGGGGAATTTAAA